CTTCATCAACTGGATATGTGTCTTAGCCCACTTTCAAAAAACAGTTAAAAATTAAGGCAAACACATACTTGGCTAAATACCCTATACAAAGTGTCAAATGCATGCATATATCTTGCATATATATATATATATATATATATATATATATATATATATATATATATATATATATATATATGCAAGATATATATATATATATATATATATATATATATTATAACTGCTTAAGCATTACAATTTATTTTAAAATATTTCGTCTGAAAAAACGCATAAAGCTCATCAGACACTCATTCGGGCAAACACACACAAAAGGAGACACAAAGCTAATGAATACTTACAAATAACAAAAAAAAAAAAAACACAAACAAAACGTAGAGTATTTAATTAATTTAAAGCGAGCACTAGGTAAAACCCAATAGCAAGAAAAAAACAACAACAGCAACAATAACAACAATAAGCACTAATCATTTTGTTTTGACGCTGACTCTGCTCATTCGTTGACTTAGAAGGGGGGCAGCAGCAACAACAATAACACTCGCATGTGGAAAGACAATGCGAATATCTAATAATGAATGCATTGCCGACTTCCATATGAGACGTCTGAACTATTCGCTCGTCTGGCTGTAAAAGCCGCAACAGCAATTTAATTGAGGTGGGCTCGCCAAAAAAAAAAAGTATGTAGTTTCACATATGTATGAGTATGTATATATATATATATATATATATATATATAGGTATATACATATATATACTAAATAATCATATGTAGAAGCTAAAGAACAACAGGTGACAAAGCAACACCTAAGCCGCGCCGACTGCGCAATGCTCTGCTGCATGTTTGAGCAGCAGATGGAAAAAGTTAGTAAATACATAATAAATATATATATATTTATAAATACATAACATTAATGCTATCTTCAAGTGCAACTAATCAAGCCAACTGAAACTTGTTACAACTTAGAGCATGACTAAGTCGGTCTGGTTTAGGATGTTGTGACTTGATAGCTTGTAGCTTTGCATACCAATATAACCTGCCTGAAAAGCCAAGTCGCGACAACGCCCCTCGATCATTAACTAATCTAGCGAGCAGAAAATTGCATTAATAAGCCAGAAACGGGGGTGGGGCTAACGGCGGTAAGCAGATGACAGACTATGAAGGCGAACTTGTCGTCGGCAATTGCTATGACTACCTCAAATCACGAGACTTGGCAGCAAGAGACAGACAGACGAGGGAGAGAGAGAGAGAGCGCGTGAGAGAGGGTGCGAGAGTTAAAGACAGTGTGACTTAAGCGAAATATACTTAAATTCTTAGTCAATTGAAACAGTTTTTTTTATATATGAATAATGCGCTGCAGATCGCACGATTATAGAAAACATGACCAGAAAATTTCCCCGCATGGCGGAAATAAGAAAGAATTCCACTAAGGATTTTTGCATATGCTCCAGTTGGGAGTGTCCCACTAAAAATTCCCTAAGCCACGTGTCAAGCTATTTAGCTTACAGGCACAATGACTCAGCACAATCACACGCATACTAACTTGTTATGCTTTGATCTTAGGGTAAATGGGTATTGGTATCGTCTGAGCTTTTAGAAATTCTGATGTTATATATATATATAACTGATATGTATATAACTGATGTTATATTATATATTTTATATATTTTTAATTAAGATCGATATATGTGTCAATGAAAAAGTTATCGATAATTGATAATAGTGATGAATCTCATGCAGTTCTAATCGTAGATCAGCTCGGCTATTGATTTCTAATTTCTAAATAGTTGCCGTATATGCGAAAGCGAGTAAATATTTTATAAATTTTAACTTAAATTACAGACAATCTTTGAAATGTGTTACATATCAATGCATGTGTCATTATATCGATATTTATCGATATTTTACAAATAAAACATATTTATATCTGAATATAAAGTGCACACATAGCTCAACTAGAGAACTTGTCATACAACAATATAGCTAGAGTATGGGTGACATGTAGGTGAAGCTGAGCAGTTTCCCTATTAATATAGTCTGAACACTAAGAGCATATCATATATATATTATCCTTCATGACAACATTTTGGTTTTAATAGATATTCCAAAGCATTGAAACCATATCAATCTTATCTGAAAATTTGTTCGTTGAGCAATAAGTCTTAAGCATCGCATTAAAGTTGAATCCCAATTTGTAATAAGATTATCTCTGATTCAATTAAAATTGTTGTAACCATGGCAATAATTGAAGTGAATTAAATGCGTATCGAAGCTTTAGGCTAAGATTAAGGCGAACTGAAGTGGGTGGCGCGTGTCTCATTTGATCCTGTCTTGTATTAGCTAATGTCGCTGTTGTCAAGGACTGCCAGTGGCAGCGCATCAGGTGGCGCCCCGCCCGGTACGACCTTGCAGACACTATTAAATTCTATTAAATGAACATTGGTAAACATTGTCGAATAACATCGAGGAGCGCTATGTCCACAGAGACAGGACACAGGATACTGACTGCCGCACTTGCGGTGCTCAAGCACAAAATACACAAACAACAAAACACTCAAATCGACAGCCATCGTTAAGTGGCAGCACCAAAGGATCCTTGTGAGCCATTATTATTATGCTTTTTAATCAATACAACGACAAGGGCCTTGCTATAATTGTTGATACTCTATATAAAGATATACCCAGTATTCAATTAGGTATATATGTGAGGTATATGCAATTCGGGCTATTAAATGATTTCAATTTTCTCAATCGAAATTGTATTCTATTTTGATCTTGAGATCAAATTTATGTTTGGAACAATATATTTATATTTATATATTATTTTGTTTACTAAATATTTTAAAGAGACACCATTGCATAGAACCAATATATGAACAAGAGCATTTTGTGAATGGGTCAGAAATAAAATATATTTTATTTATAATATATATATTTTTTATTTAAAATATTATTTTAATAGTTTTTAGTTTTTCATATTTGAGAGCCGATCTCACTTTTATTTAACGTGCAGGGTATTACATGGTCGAGCTCTTGTGTGTATATTTAGTTGGTTGTTGCTTTCGTGCTTGCCACGTGTGCCGAGTGGCCTACGCAAAAGCTACGCAAACAACCTTACCCAGCCGACAGAATCATACATACATACATACATACATACATACATACATACATACATACATACATACACACATACATATGTACATGCATAGAAAGCAATACTTTAACATACTCAATATAGTCAACAAGCGGACAACGTGCTGTCAACGTCGCCGTCGCCATCGCACAGTGGGACGAATTTATTGATCAAACATCAGTTTTAAGGGAGTTTCGGCTTATAAATGTCCCTCGCACGCAAAAAAAATTGAAGCAGGGTATTAATTTGAATATGGTTTGTAATATTTAAATTTCTGATGAAATATAAAATGAATAGAAACTCAGGCCTCAATATAAGCAGAAATTCAAAATTTAACCCTCGATTGATTTGACATACATGCTTATGTACTACCCTCAATTTATATTTATATAAGTGTATCAATTTCTATATAATTATTATGTATACCTATGACAGCCAAGAAATTATTTAGAAAACCTATTGTTTTTAACCACTGTGCAACGATGTCGATGCTTTGAGTTGTATACAATCGTGCGCACAGATGACGGCCAATGCGGTGGGGTTTCTTGGAGGCGCCCACATTGAAAAGAAAAAAATCAACGACAAACTATTTTCTTAGCTAAAGTTGTTCAATTTTACTCATTATTATTTTTGTTGCTGTTGTAGTGAAAATGTACCGTTATCAAAAATCAAACGCACAACTCTAGCATTCTTCAATGCATGTATGTATATATGTATGTATTAGTGTGTGCATACATACGTATGTTTGTATCGGAATGTAAGTTAAAGGCACAGGTAAAAGCGAGGGCAAAAACTGATGTCCAAAAATGTAGAAATAAAATAATATAACAACAACAAACCTGTTCCACCGCGCACCGCGTACGTTGTGGTCGCTTGCATCGATGAACTGGTGCCCGAACCCGCGCCGCCGGCTCCACTGGTTTTTGTGAATTTTAAGAGCATTGTGTTGATCCGTGTTTGTTGGTGATATTGTTGTTTTTGATGTCGTTGTTGTTGCTGCTGCGGCTGCTGCTCTTATTTCGAGTCCAAACAAATGCAGCAAACACAAAACAGAAAACAAAAACAAAAAAAAATAAACCGAAAACGAAAACAAAGCGAACAAAAAACTAGGCACCAAAATATAGCGTAATTTCACTTTATAGTTATTTATTTGTAGTTTGTCTTTATGTTTTTAGCTGCAGCTGCTGTTGCTTGATCCAACAGGCTAACGGTAACTGTCAAAACGGAGGCAAGGCCCAAAGTCCGAAAGAAGCAAACGTCAGCGACTGCGGGGTTTTGTCTATTTATTGCTATTTTTAGTAACAATTTTTTTCTCTGTGTTGACGCAGGGACACCGACGAAGAAAATCGCGCCTGGCTTGCCTTTTGTTTCCGTTGCGGTAGTTCCCTTTTTTCGGTTTCTTTCGTTTCACTCTGTACTTTATCAATTATATTATTGTACACTATTTTAGTAGTGTTGCTGCTCACGTTATTGTTATTATTGTTGTGTTGGTTTTTTCTATGCTTTGCTCATATGTTTATGCACGCGTTGCGTGTTTGTGTGTGTGTTGGATTTTTAGGTATGTGTGTCTGAAATTCGTTTAAATTACGTCCTAATGTAGCTTGCGGCTCATGCATTTTATGCTTAAAGTGTGCTACCTAGCCTGCACTTTTTCTGTGTATAAGTTTTCTAAATTAACACACGTTTTGCACTTGAAAAAAAAACATAAATACTTGATCAAATTCTAGTACGACGCTGGCCCATTTGCATTCAACTGGTTGAGCGGCGTTGCCGGATCACAAACAGTTGACCATGTGCCAGGGCTGAGCAGGCAAACAAGCTATCGATAAGTTTTGTAGGCACCGATAAACATCCGACTGTCTGGCAACTTTGCCAGTAGTTGGCAATGCAAATTTCAAAAATAAAAATAAAATATAAAAAAACAAACATATTAAAAAGACAACAAAATACAGGCGGGTGTGATTTAATTACACAATCCAATACATATATATTAACCAAATTACTAGGTATAATGTCGGTTAAGTTTTATGTGGTGCCATCGCTAAGTTTATACGGTCAATTGCAATCGGGGAGCGTGGCACGGATAAGATAATTCCGAGTCAGCGATAATTTCCTGATAAACAATAGCAACAAAGAGAGACTGACTTAATTCGTTTTCCAGCGCATTTATTATTAAGAACAGAAGCTAGTCAAATTTCGAGTGAGTGTCAAGCATGTGTGTCATATTCTTCTACGCTAATTCAGAGCCAACTGTCAATGGCTATAAACTTATCTTGGCCTCCAATCGTGATGAGTTCTTTGCCCGCGATACACAAACAGCAGGCGAATGGTCAAATGGGGGTCACGTCTATGGTGGTGAGTACTCTGTAATTGAACGCCAGGCGCATCACATCCAATGAAATATATCAAATTTCGTAGGAATTGATCTGGAGCCAGGGCGTGAGGGTGGCACTTGGTTGGCTATTGGCAACGGGAAGGGCATCTTCAAAGTGGGGGCACTGCTCAATCTAACTGGCGAGCCAAAGCCGCGCAATGCAGTCGGTAAAAACAATACACAACACACACACACACGTCCACATGCATACGCACACACTCAAAATTCAACCATTAACTTCGGCTCCATTAACCCTAATCCATTATAACATCCTTTCTTCCTTCACAAACTGATAACTCATGAAATTTTTTTGTTTCGAAGCGCACAAAAACATTTTGCAACCGCATAATAATACCAAGAACAGCTGCCAAGAGCACAAAGAACGCCAAACAAATAACGAACATTTCTTATTAGGACGCGGCATGATCGTGGCTAGCTATGTGAGTCAAACGGATATTGAACACAATATTATTAATTATAATCAGCGTTTGCTGGCCGACTGCACCAAATACAGTGCATTCAATTTTGTGTCCATTGAGATTGGGTAAGTGCAATCTATATATATATATGTCAGCTTCGTAATTGCTTTGCTCGCATCCCTTACTTTCTTCCTTTAATAAGACGTAATGTGATCGAGCGAGAGATCCGATGCACATACGCCATGTTTTGTTTACTTTCGCTGCTCTCACTTGTTGGTCTCAGTAAGGGAGGCAATAACTTCCTCAAGGCAAGCGCATGCACGCATACACTTACACGTCCTTGTCACATACATGTGCCAGTGTGCGTAAGTTTGGCTACCTGTTGCTTAGTGAGAGCGCGAGTGGATAAGGAATTGGAGCAAATACGAATTTGAGTGGGACTTTCTAAATTATGCTAATTAGATATTATTTTCTAATATCTATATATATATTTTTTTTGCTTTTTAGCTCAGATGCGCAGCCGGCTCAAATCAAACTGCTGAGCAACGTGCCGCCCACGTTGTTGCCGTTCGAGCAGGGTCAATGCTATGGATTTGGCAACAGCTTGCCGGACAGTCCATTTGAAAAGGTTCAGTACGGCCGCAAGCATTTCGAACAAATTGTTCGTGAATTCGGCGAATCGGACGTTGATACACTCAGCGCCGAGCTGCTCCAGCTGTTGAAGAACAAACACAAATTCTGGCCAGATGCAGAGCTGGAGCGACGCGCACCCAGCTGGGGTGAAGGGCTGAGCGCATTAAATGTGCACATCTCCGAGCACGGCTATGGCAGTCGCACCCATTCGCTCATCCTGGTCGATGCGAACAACAAGCTGCATTTCATCGAGGAAACCATGCGTGGCCTAGACCCCAGCGCCGAATGGGAGCGCACACATATCGAAAAACAATTCAAAAGCGCTTAAGAAAATCATTTTCTCTTACTTAAGACATTCGAACGTGAAGATGTAGTCTATTATATATTTATAGAAAGCAACTCCAGAAACAATAACCTCATACGAAACTAAACTAACATGCAAAATAGCGAACAAAACACATTGACTCAAGCCAAAAATAAAAACAACTCAATAATGTTTAAATAAAAGTTTGACACGAATTTTCACTAAAGTCAGCAGCACAAAAAATGGTTTATGAAAATATAAAGATTAAGACTGTATCCAATATTAGTAAATTAGATCTCTAAGGCTCACTCACGACTCTAATTTACAATTAAATATAATCATGTTCACTTGTATATGTTTATCAAATATTACTATAAAAACATGCCTAAACTACGTGTAACTAATAATTAAGTTATATCTTTATAATTGCGGCTGTAATTCGCTTCAAAGATAAAAAACCCTACAGACAGACAGAAGTGTGCTATTAGGTGACTTGCCACTAAGTTTTATATAAAAATAATTTGATTTATCTGTCACCTGATGATCTGCTGCGTCACACGATCATATGCTGCTAACAAGTAAAACAATGGCTATGCTAGGACTCGAACTCGAATCTCCCCAGTTCAATATCCAAATCACCTTAAGCAACTAATTTAAATATATTTATATATATATATATATATCTAAACACAAGTAACTAAACGAAAAACAACTGATATTAAAGATGCCTTGTAAAAGAAAAAAAAAATTTCAACAAAATATATAAATTTCTATGTGTACTTAGACAAGTACAATATATATAAAAGTTTATATTAAGCCAACTCAAGATATTGAACAAAAAATATATTATAAAATCATACGATTCTCTGTGAACGAGATTACAATAGCATAAAAACCTCGTATTTTTTTCGGTTCATGTACATATAATAGTTGTAAATTATTAAATATTAACTTTTGACGCTTCAGAGTGTTTCTTTTCAACGATTAAGTGCTTCGTTATATATAATCTTTTATATATATATATATCTGTGTGTGTTTTTATATAGTTTTATAGCAAAATAACAGCGAATTATAGAAATTATTCAGGTTATCTTTATGATCCACTATAATTGCTGCCTATTTGTAACTCTTGGTAACACGTCCGCGCTTGCTGCTGCCCCTAACTCCACGCGCACCTGTCCCAGTTGCCGCTTCGCCCCCATCTCCACCAGCACCACGCACGACGCTCTTGAACTTTCGCGAGTTCATGGCCCTTTTGCTGCAATCGAAAAAAGTTTTTTTTTATTATTAAATGATTAAGTTAATATTTGGTCGGTCTGCTGGCCTGTGACTAACCGTTTGTTCAGCGTATTCCGTGTCAGCGGTATATAGGCATAGGGATCTAATTTGCCGCGCTGCTTCATGTCGCCTTTGGCCTTTTTACTGCTGTACTCGCTGCCAGCTATCTTGCTGTGCCCTCCGCTGGACTTGACGGACATGGCATCAGTGGCTGCGGCATTCAGCGAACGATGTATACCCTTGTGTGTGCTGGCATTTGTCTTTCCAGAGCGCATGCTTAGCGCATCGGTGGCCTGTCGCTTACGCTTGGCGCTGGTTGCTTTCTGTAGATCCTCCTCATCACTGGAGTCCTCTTCCATGCCGCGCTTGGGATTGCCACTACCCGGCTCATGGCCGCTATCAGCCGAGGAGTCATCGCTGTCGGAGCCATCATCAATTGCATCATCCTTCTGGCCACGTAGCGCCTTGTCGCTGATGATGAGACGTCCATCATCGGCAGTCTTAAAGCCGCCATTGGGCAGCAGTGGTTTCGACCTCGACTGTTTGCTAGTCGCAACAGCAGCAGCAGAGCCACTTGCTGCAGAGAGAAATGCCAATACATTAGAGTGTAAATTATGTTGAGCTTACAAAACTAATCTTACTCAGCACATTTCCAATAGATTTGAGATCGGCTAAGTCGACAATCTCATCGGCATCCTCGCGTATGTAAGTGCTACGCGCTTGCTTTGACTTGGCCTTTGATTTAGCCGAGCGATTCTTGGCAGCTGCACCACCCTCTTCAGTTTCCATATCCTCTGGCAAATCTGAGTCCGAATCTGCTAAAATGTCATCGATGCTGCAAGTAGATAATTTTTGCTTTAGCTGTTCATGAAAAGAAACTGTCATTGAGGCTTACGTATAGCTCTTTTGCTCAAGATCGCCGATAAGCTCCTCATCCGAGCTCTCGGCCTGGGCTTCCTCGTTTTGCTTTTTGCGTGTATCACGACGCATTTGCTTGCGTATCTTCTTGAGCCGTCGATGGGTTACCTCATCGTCGCCAGGCACAAAACGCGCCAGCTCCTCTGTGCTAAAGCGTTTACACAGCTTTTTGAGGAAGTAACCAATTTGTATGCGGCAATATCGTTTCGTATCCTTAGTCATTGCTGACAGGGAACGCATCTGCAAAAGACCAGCGATTAGAGTATTTAGTCAAAGCCAAATTATGCACACATGAGCTTGCACTTACAATTGTTTCCAAATGATTAGCCACAAGTGGTATGGGCATCACCTTGATGAATGTAATGAGAAAGGCGACGGCTGCCTCGGCCTGATGTCGCGACTTCTGCACTATGAACACCGAAATCTGCTCGAGCACAAATTCCAAAGTACTCACAGTCAGGTGTTGGCCCTGCTGCTGAAGCACAGCACGAAAGGCGAGAATCGTATTGGTTATCAGTGATTCGTCGCCTGTAAACCCAGCTGTTAGAATGTCCACAAACTCATTGATCTTGCCAGCCTCCTGATACAGATTTACAATCTGCTTAATAAGCTGCTCAGCCACCTGCTCTTTTCGTGTCGAGAACTCCTTGTAATTGAGCACCGCCTCGGGAATGGCCTTCATCACAAGCTGATCGTTGTATGTCAGTTTGCTGCGGCAGTCCAGCAGCGATTTCAGGCAACTGCGGAGGGATTTCAAATATTTTCAATTACAAATTGCATTTTCAATATCATCTAAGCTGGAGCATCACTTACTGTAGACGAGACGCTTGACACACGCTACATGTGGTGTTAAATGCTTCGAGGAGTATCTGTTGCAATAAAATACAATTTTTGCGAGTGAATTTCTGGCACGAGGGCAGATCTGAGGTCATCAGTTCACGCAGCAATCTAATAGGATGACAAGCAAGAATATATCCTGGAATTTATTGAAATGGATATGTCATTGCTCACTCGTATGTCTTCCGCTGCTGTTTCTTCATCTTCTGTTCGTCGCGTGATACCAATTTGGATTTGTCGTTGCGCAGCACGGGCGCCATATACTTCTCGAAATAGGCCTCGATGCCACGACACTTTTGGACACGCACAATCGCCGCATTGATATCAAAGTAAGCGTCATACTCGAAGCTGGCGACTGCGCTGGCCGCCAACAAGTTTTGAGCGCTCTCAAAGAGCTGGGCTTGCACTTCGGCAGGGGCACGTGCGATATAGGCGCGTATTACATCCAGAGCACGTTTGCGCTGATCACCTTCATAGCTGGTGTTGGGTTTCTGAGTGTAAATGTTGAAGAGGCGTGGCAGAAAGTTGCGTGCATATTGACCTATAGCCGCATGGCACTCAGGACTCTGACTATCATCCAGCAATTCCATCAACCCATCATAGATGGGCGCACGAAACTCTGAATTGTGCTCCAAGGCGTCGCCCAGTGTTGGCGCTAGCTTGCGCAAATATTCCGGATCGCGTGGCTGACGACAGAAGCCAGGAAACAGACCCCACAGCTGACAGCATAATAGTTCATAAATGTGTGCCTTGGATACGTTCTTCTCCTCGACCGAATACTTCCGCCAGTAAGACTGACTTTTTAGGGCCAGCGGTACAATGTGTTCCATGAAGAACTGCAAGCTTGCACCATTGGCACCCTCACGCATCAATGGCAACAGCCACGATCGCTCCAAGCACACATCGCCGTTGCCATCGCTCAGTGGTAAAGCCCGTAGAACCAATTCTGGGCCAAGTGCCTTAATGGCGCTGATCAGCGTGTGCTCAATCTGCAAACGCAAGGCGCCCTGGCTCTCATAACGTTTGCCAATGGTTGTCAACGAGGGCGTCAATTCGGATCTGGTTAATTAGAAAAAAATCAATTAATATACATAATATATTGTTTGTAACTTCATGGTTTTACTTACCCAAAGTGTTTGCCACATGCCTCGAACACAATGGAGAATATGAGAATAACATATTTGGAGATCTCGCCGAAAGGTGCATTTAGCACTTTGTGCAGAGCGCCAATTATTTTGGCCACAGCTGGACGATATTGCTCTGCTAGCTCCTTTGTGGCACAGGCACGCGAGACACAATCCTGAAGCATCTCCTTAATGCAATTGGACACGCCAACCACCAGTTCGCCTCGCTCCGATAGCCAAAGATCAGTTGTACAAATCTCAAAAAGGCGCGGAAGCGCTTGCATGCACAAATCCAATTGCAGAGTGGCCAAATGCAGATGCCCCTCTTTGAGCACTGTGATCCAGGCAAGCGTTTGACGTACATCGCTGCGATCCGGCCGATACTCGTGTATGGCAACAAGCAGTTTGGCGCACAGTGTCGCATTCAGATTAACGCTGCGCGTAAGGAAGAGAGAGTGTAACGCCTGGAAGCAGTTGGTGCGCACAATAACATTGGCCGCGGTCATTATGGATAGCAGATGCTCGCAAACGCTGCGTATGTCTTCTGTGCGAAAGCCAGCCAGCGTGTCCTTTAGCAATGCCAGCGTATGCAAAACCGTCGTCTGACTATTGGCCAAAACTTCGGGCTTGAACTGTGCCAAACAGAATTTCGTCACACGATTGCTAGCTGGATGATGCTTGATCTTAGATGTCTGTCGCTGTTCATCCTTAACATTCTCTGCCTCGCTCTCATTTGCTGTTGGTGGCAGCATAAAGCAACTGCCATGTATGATTGAGACGACGGCATGTTGTGCCGCTTTTCGTATTTTAGGCTTCGAGTGTATGGTGAAGGCGAGCAGCGCGTCAAAGTACTGAAACGTTGAGCTGTACGTCCATGTCGCATAGTCCTGGGCACGCAACAACACAGACATGCAACCGATCAGCTGGAAAAGTGATCATATTTTAGTTTTCAGTATCGGTAATAGTACAATTACTTACATATCGTATAACAGATTGATTGCTGGCTTCAATGAAGCGCTGCAACAGCTGCTGCAACGTTGCGGCTGTTTGATCAAAGCGTTTTCGCAGTACCGGCACTGGCACAGATTTGATGCCCATTGAAAGTAAGGCAACGCCGGCAATGATGTCGCGCTCCTCGCTGGCCGCCTCGATTTGGCTGATAAGTAGCAAAAAGTATTCGGTAGATGACTCGTTGCCGCCACGTTCGCGTATTATTTCCGTCAATGCGCTTAAAATAGCCAACATCTCCTTGTGCAAATCGGAGGAGGCTCGAAAGCCGGTTAGCAGCTTCTTAAAGCTAACATTACTGCAGCTGCTGTAGTTGGAGGCAAAAGTCTGGAAGGTCTTAAATGTGCCCGGCTGTGTGCCGCTGCCAGACATACCATCATCATCCTCCAGTGTAAAGGACATAAGGCTACCGGCGACATCGTTGACCGTTGTTGTCTCCGCATTGTAGGCTTGCCGCTGCTCGTGTTTGTGCACGGCTTCCATGGTAAGTCCATTGGCTGAGTTCGATGCAGCTGTATGTTGTGGGAAAATGAATCAATTATGTATAATCATGTTGCACCTCGCATTAGGCTTACCCAAATTTAAATTTGGTTGGAAAAAGCGCGACTTTGCTTTAAGACGATGTTTCATTTGATCAGGATTCGATACAGCCGATTGGCCTTTACTCCAACTTTTGCCTTTGCCATGGCGTTTCAATTTCGAACGAAATTTACCCATTCTTAGAGGATGTGAGTGCGACGCACTACGCACTAAATTATAATTTTCAAAAAGCCAAATCGAACACGTGCAGCTCAACCTAGCCAGTGCAACATGTTTTGTTAGTATCGCATTTTCTATCGATATTTTGTGGATTATCGACTATTTGAAAACGATGATCGTCAGGTGAGCAGCTGAGCTGAGCGAAGGGTTGCCAGCTGTTTGTTCACGAACAGTGAAATATCGATAGTGTCATCGATATTACCCCAACACAACAATGAAAACAAATAGCTCTCGTGCAATACTTTGGAGCTTACCAGCTAATATTATTAAGTTAAAGAGCAGCTAACCGCAAGATACCCCACAATACAAACACAATGTGGCAGACGCTGCTCGGCCTCAGTTGTCTATAAAGCAAGCGGACGGACGAGCAGCAAAGCAAACAACAATAGCTATAGCGAAAGCAACGTAATAAGAACACAATAACAATGAAACAAGTTCATTTCATTAAATATATGTAAATGTTTAACGGACCCTAACGAGCGCCATCGAGCAGCAGTAATGAGTTGCCATCGCATAAATGAGCACAACACAAACAGTAGTAACAAAACGAACATTAAAAAAAAACAGACAACAAGAATCAAAACAACACCTGAGTCGAAAAGACGACCAAAACAGCAGCAGCAACAGCAAAGACAACCCACAACGACGTGAGCCGGTGAGAACGTGAACCCACCACACGCACAGTTTCAATTCCAAAATAAGCAAAGCGCAAACAAATAAAGAAAGTAAGTGAAAATTTGGGACAACATTTGCAATCGCCACTGCAAAAAAAAAGCGTTGGCCAACAAAGCCATCAGCAACAACAATAAGAACAGTGACAACAAGCAGAAGAACAAACAGAACAAGAGTCCGCCTTATCCATGAAACCTCAGCCATAAACAGCCGCAAACAAATACCTCAAAAATGGACATTTTTATCAATTTCATTAAAAATCCACAATCTATACTGTGTAAGTATACAAATATTCATAAAATACATTTATATATCTATCAAAATTTCTCATATATATGTTATATATACATATATTTCATCCATTATAATATATATTGTCTTGTCTTCTTTATTTATTTTTTTTTGCATATTTTTAAATCTGTTTTGTTTTCTTTTTTAACTATGTAAATTGGTTTCTTTGAGTTAAAAAAAAGTAAGCGAAAGTTCATTTTGAATTTAAACTTTGTTCTTTGCTTAAATAAATGAATTACAGACTTTCCACTGCTAGCAGCGGAATATGCGTGAAAAAACCCGATTAGCAAATGTTTTTTTTCTTGGCTAATTTGAAGAATCAAAATTTTATATAATAAATATTTATTTTATTTTATCGTATCCAATATTATAATATTATATTATATTTCAGTTTTTTTGCTGTTAAGTTTTAGCATAAAATATTTAAGAAATATAATATAATACATAAATATATTTTTATATGTTTTTCATCCCATTTTTTTTTTCGAAAATATAAAAATTTTAATGACAGTTAAAATTTAAGAATTTAGTTTTAAATTTTCATATTTTCTTTCGTATTTTAATCTAATCCAATATTATGCAAATCTTAAGAGATAGATTTGCATAGTATTGGATTAGTAGCTCAGAAAATGTTTCAAAACTAAAACAATATATACAAAATATATATAAATTTTGTGCTTTTCAATATATCTTACCATCCCCATATCCAATCCAATTCAATCTCTAAAAGTGGTTCAGAAACTAAAGCTAAGCCCATGATCAAAAAATCAATTACCAATTCATATTTATTTAAGACATACACGTGACAGTTATATACATATTACTGATATATCTCCAATAATTCTATATATTTATCTACAGCCGCATACATTGATCTGGACTATTCGCTATGGCTATATCGCTTTCTAACGCCGCTGATGGTAACATTCCTGCTGCCGCTCGTCTTTGTGGCGCTTATCTACATATCATTTTTGGTGCTTTTCATCTACAAGCTGCACAGGTAAGGGCGGGTGGTCTCGTGAAATGGCTGACGTGCCCGTATATAGCCAGGTACATACATACATATGTATGTTTGGGCCCATATGTGCACCAATATGTATTACATATCAACTGTATAGGCATTGAATATATAGGAATAATGCTGTCATTGCAGTTTCTGATATCGAAATCGTTGAACGCTTTGCTTGGCTTTCGAGTAACCCGTGCACTTCAACGCTTTGGCCCTCGATTCCCCCTAGAATGGCACTTGACGCTGACTGTGCGCGATTCATTTACGTAAAGCTCTCCACAGCGCGCCAATGGCCATTTAAGCAATGTAAAAAAAAAAATAACTTCAAACCGGTTCTAATGCTAATTAACTGGAAGTCCAGTCAGAAGTCTCGTAGCTGTCGATAGACCAAATGGTTGCTAGTGTCATTAGGCGAGGGTTTCGCTGAACCCTTCACTGAAACTCTCGCGCACACTCCGCCAGATAATTACAGCTAAATATCCAATAGAAAAGTCAGTCAGCCTGCAAAAACATATTCCGGACATGCGTCACGGGCGTGCGATAAGCGCAAAAATCACAGCGAAACCCTCACAAATTGCTGTATTTTCGCATACCCTTGATGGCAAGGGCTCTGCCAAGTTGCATCCAAGTGGAGACCGTTGTGTCTATATATATATATAGCTAAAGGCTATATCCCTATCTTGTTTACCGATCAAGAATGTTCCAAAAGACCTTTGTGCGTTTGGAGTCTGACAGAATTTCAATAGACTTAAAATATTAGCACTATCTAAAAAGGGTATTTGAGCTTCAGCTTGCCTTTTTACTCCACCTTAGAGCTAATGATAACGCCGCTTTAGGTAATAGCAAACAGCTACGATATCAGCTCAATTTGCTGCTTCATATGTCATAAAACTATTGGCAATGAAAATGTGAGGGGCGGCGCCAATTTAGTTGCGTTCTAACAAATTTAAAGAAAATACAGTTAATTAACTTTACATCTTTAAAATTATAAAAATTTAAAGAAAATATATATAAATATATATACATTTATTTTATTACAATATTATAATTTTATGTTACAATAATATAAAAAAGTTTCTCTTTAATTTTCACATTTTTTTATCATAATCAAACTTAAAAATATAAATAAAAATAAAATCAAAATTAAAAATGTAAAAATAAAATCAATAATAATAAACCTAGATTAAAAATATAAAAAATTAAAAAAATATTTAAAAATAAAAATAAACTCACATATAGCTTAGCTACCTCATAAATTAACTAACTCTAAATCCAAAGCTAATCTCGCGTTATGATATGGTCTTACAAATCTATATGTATACTTATTACTTTCTAAAATATTTAAAAATACAAAAAATTGTAGAGCATCTTAAACAGGTTAGATGATCTTTAATTTTTTCATTAACAATATTTTTTATAAATTGCCCTTTTTTCATAAACTCCTTTTGAAAGTTTCCAAATCAAGCAGCTGTTTTTATTATTAAAAATACTATTTAAAATTTTAAAACAATTTCTCAACGTTTTCAAATCAAGCTACAAGTGCAACACATTCATAATTATTATAAAAAACGTTTCAAAAATAAAATCTTAAAACGAATTTGGGCGGAATGGCTCGAGTAGAAACAAGCTAAAAATTGAGATTGGCTTCTAGTGTCATGCATAGAACAAGAACTTAGCCGTGCCACGCCCATCGAAGCAAACTTATTTGCTCGGCATATCAGCTAAACTTTTGTCCAAACACTCGCTGGGGGTGGGCTGGGGATCAGCACGGACAGGTGCGGCGACCATGTAGCTGCTGCTGTGTCTGCCGCTGCTTCTGTTGCTGCCGCCGCCGCCGTCGCTGCTGTTTGAGATCAGAAGATCGTGCTGTACGCACGTAAATATTTCAGAAAAGAAAAAATGGTTTGTCCATTGATTAATTGAGATTCAGATAGTCGTTGCCAATGCGCTGATAACGCCCGAGCCAGCCATGATGCTATTGCAGCTGCCAAAAAAAAAAAAACTAAACTAAATTTAAATAATATTATCAATTTTGCAATTAATTAGCGCGTCGAGAAGTGCAAAGCAAACAACACAAAATTCCATTGATATTAACTCTGCCTGCGGCTAATACTCGTGTCCAACGCTGATGATAAGCCCAACTCACGCACTCACGCGCACATCCCTAAAACTCATAAGCTCTGCAAGTACTACACTTAAGACCTAGCACTTGATCGTTAAAAACAAAACACATTAAGTTTTAATTGTGGGGAATCAATTAAAAAAAGCAACTTCGATACGCTTAAAAATTTGTTAGGCCTAATTCATGGCAGCTTCTTTATATATATTATATATATAGAAGCTTATATATATATTATATTTTGAAATAATTGCTTAGCATTTTATAAGAATATTCTTTGAATAGTAAATCATGAAAAATAATAAAATAAATAAAATAAAGTTGTAATCTTAATCTACATAGAACTTAGGTCAGTTATTTTGATCTATATAGAACTTATTTTAGTTATTATATAACTCTATATAAGTTAGGTCAGATATCTATGTTCCTATCGAACGTATGTTAGGTGTCTATATTTGTGTATATATTATATTTTACTTGTCTATATTTCTATAAAAACTTATAACTGTCTATAGCTATATAGAACTTATGTCTTAATTATTTTTATCTCAATATATATCAAGAAATTATGCTAGTTGTCTATATTTTTATATCTCCTATGTTAGTTGTCTATATCTGCGTATATCTTAAGTTATATCTCAGAATGGTATATTGTAATTCTATATATCTTAGATCAATTAGCGATATCTATGTAGAAACTGTCTTAGTTCCATATGGTTCTATATATTTCATGATAGTTACCTTTAGCTCTATAAAAGCTATGCTAATGAAATATATCTCGTTAAGTCTTAGATCTTTCTATATCTGAATTTAGTTATTGATATTTCAACACAACTTATCACAGTTGTGTCCCAGTTGAGCTTATAACTCTATATATCTGAAGTTAGCTTTCTATAAACCAATAAATCTCATATCTAGCTTGTCTACATCTCGAGAGCTTATTGTCTATAGCTGTATATATATGCCTATTCCTATCTTCATTCATAACACTCCATAACAATTTATATAGTTTACCATCCCAAGACTCTATTGAGCATGAAGAATTGATGCTCTTCTAGTTTCATGCTTGCGAACAAAATTACTTATTGGCCATCTCTTTCACACACCATCTCTCTCTTTCTCTCTTTCCAATTGCAGACAGGTAATAATGCGAGCTGTTCAAACGGATCGGAACTTTTGGCGGGTTGGTCGCAAAATTGTAGCCGCCATTTGGGACGCACATGCGCGCATCTACCATGGGTATGAGGTGATCGGGCTGGATAACGTGCCGCAGGAGGGGCCAGCACTGATTATCTATTACCATGGCGCAATACCGATCGATATGTACTATCTGAATTCGCGGATGCTGCTGCAGCGCGAGCGTCTGATTTACACGGTTGGCGATCGTTTTCTGTTCAAGATACCGGGCTGGGGCACCATTTCGGAGGCGTTTCAAGTCAGTCCCGGCACGGTGCAGTCCTGCGTTAGCATACTGCGCGACGGCAATCTGCTGGCCATATCGCCGGGTGGCGTCTATGAGGCACAGTTCGGGGATCATTACTATGAGCTGCTGTGGCGCAATCGTCTCGGCTTTGCCAAAGTGGCGCAGGAAGCCAAAGTGCCGGTGATACCCTGCTTTACACAAAACCTACGCGAGGGCTTCCGCCAGCTGGGCATCTTCCGGACGTTCTTCATGCGGCTGTACAACAAGGTGCGCATACCTGTTTACCCCATCTACGGTGGCTTTCCAGTCAAATTTCGCACTTACCTGGGCAAACCCATCGAGTACGATGAGAATCTAACGCCACAGGAGCTGCAAATCAAGGTGAGTGCGAAACTGAATGAACGAGTTCATATTATTGCATCAATTTAACATTTGCTCTTTGCAGGTGGCCACCGCCATTGAGGAGCTCATCAATCAGCATCAACGTCTGCCTGGCAGCATACTTTGGGCTCTGCTCGACCGACTGCCGGCCTTCAAGCGTCATCGCAAGAACTCCACTTGTGTACCCAGTAAAAAAAAGTCCGACTAGAGCGTCGAGTGTTCTAATACTAACTGTGTTAATGACTAATTTCTAGAAGCAAATTTCGAGGGCATTCAAACGTAATGCGATACAATATGCGCCGCCATAAGACTTTGTTCCATGTACTTCATTATGAAATGTATTCAACGTGTACTTCCGTTTAGTTGTAACAACAATTTAATCTGATGCGCTCCTCGCAGGTGCAACATTCGCCTTGTATAGAACATAACTTTTTGCTACATAGACTATACTATATATCTATATATATATATATATAAATATATAAATAATATGATGCGGAAGACGAGAGAAATCCAAATGATTTGCCTAGCCTTAAGTTAAGTTGTCGAAACAAATCATAATTCATAATCTTTTTTTTTTATCGTAGTCATAGCGATCAATCCTTGTAACTTTCTAATTTGATATATCTCCAGTAAGAGAATGGTTTGTGTGCCCGTGACTTATAGCAAATGACAATTTAAATGTAAGCTAATTTAAATTCATGTTGTTTACATAATTAAAACCAAACTGTAAGCGAAACTATTATTTGAAATGGAACATTTTCGATACATATAAATATATATATATATATATATAACAATATATATATTGATACCACTGACAGCAACACTAACAAGAATGAATATTGTAAATAAGCTAAGAATATAATTATAAAAAAATCTATGCGAAAGCTAAAGTCATATTTCTATTCAAGTTCAACTGTTTCTTAACTATAAAAGCCTGACAACCAGAGTGTGGTCGGTCTCTGATAGACCCATTTACTTCTTGTATTAGCCATACAGGCAATTGACTTACTATTCCCATGTGAAGACCTAGGCTAAGAAAGTGGAAAGAGATTTGGCTTAAGGGAAAGTCTGATAAGTATATATATGCATGCACGTACATGTCGTAGAATCTGCATGTCTATATCTTATATATCTCAACGAGTTCTTGGACCCAACATTCACAATTTATTTGCTTCAGACTGACTCCAAATGCTTTTAACTTTGTGTAGAACAGAGAACACTGTTGGGTGCGTAAAAGAGGGAAGGCATTCAGAAAGAGATATATATTAATATCCAACATATTTTCTCATAGATCTCATATAACTCATATATTCTATATCATATATTTTATATATCTCCTCATATAAATCATAAATAATTTCCTATATATCTTATACATCTTCTCGTATAACTCAAATATCATATATTTCCTTTCATACATGTCATATATCCTATATATTTTCCCATATATCTTCTCATATATTCAAAATATTTTACAAGACATCATCTAAATATTCTCATATATCCCATATATCTTATATATCCTCTCATATATCTATATTCATATACTCTTCTGATCCAAGTTTCTTGAAAATATTTTTAAACATTTTAATTATCAAATGAAACAAATTAGCATTGCATGTTTTTTTAACTTTTTAATTACATTCGAAAGTATTTTCCACAACTTAATTTATATTGACCTAGATTCAAATTTTGTTCCTAAATAGCAAAACTATTTTGAAGATGAAGAGCTTCAACTTTATATTTTGACCATGAGTGAGATCTGGCTAGAAAGCATTCTCTCTCTCTCTCTCTCTCTCACTCACATATCTAAACATACTACGCTTTTTTGACTAGAGCTAAGATTGAATAGAGTTGAACCAAAGCCGAGGCTAATTCACGAACCATTTTTGTATTTGCATTTCTATGGGGTATACAGCACTGCTAAATACATATATTGTTTTATAGATTGTGGTTTTATTTTTAGTAAATTCATCTATTAACGCTAATTTAAGTAATTTGTCAGATTTGAAGTTTGTACAGCTTAATATAAGAGCGGCCAGCCAAAGAAGCCTTTGAGCCAGGCTGACAGACTGAACATGATATTAGAATACATACTACGTAGATATAGATATATATATATACATATATATATATATGTATAGGTATTTAGATCTTTGGAAAGAAACAGTTGACTATTTAGCTAAAAGCTAAAACAAACATCGCAATGCACTCGGAATAAGTTTTAAAATATTTTTCTTCTTTTGTTTTCGTGAGCTTATCACAGGAGGAACTCGTAGCAACCGATAGATGATGGCTTCTTTAGAACTGTTCGGCCATGAGCAGGACGACGAGCCCGCTCCAGCCGGTAAATGGCTTGCAGCCCTTGCCCTCGCCGGTGGTATCATCATATTGCTCCCAGATGTAGCCACTGCGCTGATACTGTCTAAAGATATTCTTCACCAGATTCTCGCGCAATTCTCCGTAGATTTTGCGCGCCAGCTCTGCATAGGGTCCGTCGGCCTGGCCATAGTGCCGCAACGCCTTTACGGCCAAATAATTGATATTGATCCAGATGGGACCGCGCCAATATGGCGGATCGTGCTCCGTATTCCTCTTCATGTACATGGGCGAGTTCTTGGCCAATGATCGCAGACCATAGCTAGTCCAAAGCAGTTCTGGATCACGCATGTCCCTTAACATCTTACCCAAATAGGGCGAATCATGATCCAGCTGCTCCAGCAGCATGGGAAACAGACTCACATAGCCGAACATATTATCGACGAACTTGTACTCCGGCTGCTTTGATACATAGCGCCGCTTCTCCTGTTGCGGCTGTGGAACGCCGCCGCCGCGTTGCCCAGCCGTTCGCTGTGGCGTCAGCGGCGGCGGATGTTTCAATGTCACCGAATCGGTGTGTAAGCCCCAGTCGGCATAGTGTTCGCTATATGGATCCAAGTGCAGGCGATTGAGCCGTTCGTTGTCCGTCAGATAGGAGAGCGTCTCGTAGTACTTGACATCGTTCTTGCCCAGCAATGTGGATAGCTCGGCCATCACGCTGGCTGCCAAGCCGATCCAGCAGCGCAAGTCGACATGACGTTCGCGCAAGGTGGGATGCGAGGCGCGCGGATAATCGTCCAGACCAGAGGATAAGCTCTTGGGATTGAGCTCACGCACGGTGCTTGAATTGCGTCCTTGCCACAAATAGCTGCCCAGTACTTCGCCTGCAAAACAAAGACGTGAGTGAGATAGCGAATACAGGGTTGAGACAGAGAGAGACTTACCGCGCTGCGTGGTGTTGTACCAGTTGAACCATGCCTGGAGACGCGGATAGAGTCGCTCCAGGGTGGCGAAACGTCCCTTTTGCGACAACTGTTGCTTGTGCTGCGTGAGGAGCTTGTGTAGAGTTAGGAAGAACGTTGGCGGATTGGCATTGCTGTTGCGCTGCGTCACAAACTCTTCGGGCACTTTGGCAAGTGCTTCGACGCCAAGAATTTGTTCTCTGGGTATCCAGCCCTCCACGTTGAGCAGATCAAACCAATGGCATATAATGTCCAGCTCAATGTCGATATCCCAGGCGCTAATTAACAGGCCATGGAAGCCCTCGTCCCAAAGGAAGCCGCGTGGAAAGAAGCTGCGCGACGGCACTGCCGTATACAGCGGCGCCTTCCAATACGGCACCGGATTCTGAGTGTGCACGGATTGGACACGGCTGGCGCCATAGAAGTAGCCAATGCCGCCAATCATATTGCTAAACGCATTGCGGGCAAAGCGTATCATATCGGGTGCATAGCCCTTGGCGGCCAGCTGAAAGGTGTCCTCGAAACGTTTGTCAAAGGCGCCAATCTTCGCCTGCAGCGAGTCCGTGTAGGCGCGTCCTGTCGGCGGCTTGGGTATGGATTCGCCGAGCGCAAAGCCCGATGTCGACTGATACGTAATGTCAAGCGTAAAGTCCACCTCTGCCGTAATCTGTATAGCTATCAGATTCGGCTCTGGATTAGTTGAGGGCACGCCATTCTGGGAGACAATCTCGCCGGGCAAGCCGATAAACCGATTGCCCCGCTTGCTGGCAAAGGCGCGAAAATGCGAGAATATTGTCTCCTTGAGCTTGCTCAGGCTGGGCGCCACAGTGCTCAGATAAGATTTGTGCTGAATGCGTCCCTTGACCGCATGGAAACGCACTTGGAATTCGCCCAAGCCTTGGCTCTCGCCATAGACGCCCGGCTCGGGACTCTTCTCGTCGGACACGTACTTGATGTGGCCATTTGTGCGCTCATCCAGCGCCACATACCAGATCAGCGATATGCTGCGGTCCCAGGCGCGCGTCGTATTACGCACCGAGATGCGTGCCGTCCAGTCGCCGCCGTACTGCTTCTCGCCGGGATATTTGACGAACGACGTCTTTATCTCAAAGGGCAGATCCTGTATCTCCTGTACACCGAAGCTGCGGCCGTCGTGATGCGTCCAACCATAACCATCCAGATTATCGCTCAGTTCGCACCAGTGCCTGATGCCGTGACCGTCAGGTCCCAAATTGCTGGGCGTGTACCACATGAGTCCCATGACCAGCGAGTGCGGGTCGCGTGTCTTCATGCCAAAGTACGTCTGTGGCCGATATGAGCCCCAATAGCGCTCCGGATCGTCCAAGCCGCTGTCCAAGACCATCTTGTGATTGTCGAACGGCGTATTCACGCGCGTCTCCAAGTACCCCAAATAGCCAAAGTAGCTGGCTATGGCTAATGAAACGCAGCCAACCAGCGTCTTCCACTTATCGAGCATCAGTTTTGATGACAAATTGAAATTGTAATTTCTGTTGCTGCTGGTGCTTCGCTTGTGCTTGGCGCTAGCTGCGGCGGCCGCAGCAGCAGCGGCGGCCGCTGCACCGGCTGTTGCTTGATTACCCGTTGCACTCGACTTGGGTGTACTGTTGTTGTTGCCGCCTGCATTGCGCGCCATCCTTACTAACGTTAACGTAAATCTAACAAGATGCAAAATTACAGATGGTTTTTGTTCACACACGTATACAAAAGCATATAATCGGAGAGACTGGCAGTTAGAAATGCGATGTTTCGTTCTGGTTCCAAACTAGTTCATTAGAGTGTTTTTGGTGGTGTGCAGGGCATGCTGACAGATACAAGCTGATGAATTAAATATATAAGGTGTACTTATTTAATTAAAATTAAGTTTTAAATAAATTAATGTATATCAAAAATTAAATGGATCATCAGCTTTAACTCGCTTCAACACATTCATGAACTATATGAATAGGGAACACGGTGAACCTGTTAAAATATCCCATGTTGACCGCGATGTTTAATGTCAACAGCTTATCGATACATCGCTTGTTCCAGCATCGATACCACAGGCCAAACAACATTTTATTATTTTTTGGGCAAAATAATGGAAACAACCTCGGTGCAGAAGATCAAACGGTCGTTTAAGCGTCCATTTGTGTTTCCCAAAAACTGCGTCTACCGGCCACTGCGACAGATTCACAACATTGAACGTAATCAAAAGCTGCCGCCCGATCAGCCGACATGTAAGTCGAAAAAGGCCAAACGTTGACGGTCTGTTTTATAATGCTTTATGCTTCACTTCGCAGACTTCACGCTGAATGCACCGCCCTCACTATTACCAGCCAAGAAATACTCAGATATTAGCGGCCTGCCAGCACCGTACGTCGATCCACACTCCAAACTGCGCTTTGCCAATGCAGAGGAATACGGCTCAATGCAACAATTGCCCTCAGACATCATCAATGGCTACTTGACATTGCGAGGCTTCACAAGCGCCGTCGGCTAGCAGTAGTGATGCCAGCCTTAAAGCTAAATAAAAAAAGCTAGTTTTACCTAAACGATAGGAGAAAAATAGAAAAACAATAGGAAAGTTAAGCTATAGTGAAGATCAATTTATTTAATATTATATTTTGTAAATGCGAATAGTCATTAAGAGGAAATTATGTGTTGAGAGGGCGAAGGAAATTGAAATTAATTTGCTTAGGGAGAAAGAGAGAGATAAAGCGAATGTTTAATATTTGAGTTCAGAAGGTTAAGGTAGAGAGAGAGATATTAATTCATATTTAATTGCATAGTTTCTGGGCGATTTCATGCGCTAATTCAGATGATAGTTGGGATATCAAATAAATATTTTCTTTCTTTCTTTTAATAATAATATGCGATTTTTATTTAAGATAATTATATATAAACACTTTACAAACTAGAGCTAATTATGTAATTGTTTGTCCAAGCAAGTTTCTGAAACTTTATTGGTTTTATTGTGTATGTGTCTGTGTATGTGTATGTGTATGTGTATGTGTGTGCGTATGAGTCTGTGTGTGCGTATGAGTCTGTGTGTGTGTGTTTTTATATGGTGTCATTTTGATATTTCGAGCACTTTCGGAAGAGATCGGATGGATTGCTCGACTTCTACTGGGACTAGTGCAATCCGCCTTCCAGCAAGCGTTGTGTTAAGAAGCGTGTGTTTAAGTTAAGCTATATTCTCGCGATTCTCTCATTGATTGTGGCAGAGACGACTCGCACCTGGCTGCATCATCCAAATTGTATATATATTAACTATGCGCTTATGTTGATTTAGATGTAGCAACAGTTGCAACAAGAACAATAAATGCTAGCCAGCCTGGTTGATCGGCCGTGTAATACTGTTCGGCTGCGTCAGCATATTCAGATCCGCTCGAAAGCTGCGCGGCAAGCCCGAGATGTCCAATTGATACTTCAGCACCACCATTGTGGCCAGCGTCTTGAGTGTGGGCTCGAAGTCCAGCACATGCAGATCGCTGTAGTCAATTAGTGTGGTAGTTGCTGCTGCTGCGGCGGCCGCCGCTGCTGCTGCTGCTGCCGCTGCTGCAGCTGCTGGCTGCTGTTGTTGCTGTTGCGGTGCCGGCGGCGGCGTTGGTTGCGTTGAGTCGTTGGCACGCGACATAGATGTCTGCGCCGGTGGCAGGGAACAGCGTGGACTGGTGCCGCCAAAGAGGAACATGCGTGTGCCCATCACAATGGCGCACTGACGTCGTCGTGCTGTTGGCGCCTGGCCATTGGCACGCACCAAATTCCACAATTTGGTGCGCGGATCAAATGTGTACAGATCGTTAAAGTGCTGGTCCAACAGACCGTTATAGCCGCCAAAGACAAAGATCAGTTTGTTATGGACAAACATGCTGTGGCTGCGTCGACCCACTGGCACCTTGCCAGCGGTGAAGGGGCGATGCCACACCTTCGTCTTCATGTCCAAATAGACAATTTCGTGGCAATAGGTCTCCTCCTGGCTATGATACGGACTATGCTTGTCGCCGCGCCCGCCAAAGATATACATGCGCTCCTCCTCGTACGCAACGGCTGCATGAAAATCTCGATACGTCGGCGGCACACCGAACGTTTGCACATAACGCCATTCCATCGTCTCCAGATTGAGCGCATGCACATCGCTGCTGAACTCGTTTATCTCGTCCACAAATCCGCCAAAGATATACATGCAATTGCCGATGACACACGCCGAATGGCCATCGCGCGCGCCCGGCAAGCAGCCACTGACCGCTGGACGTGTCCAGCGCGCCGTCTTCGGATCGAAGCAGTAGAGTACATTGCACAGATGCTCGTCGTTGCGGCCGCCCCAAATGTAGATGCGCTCCTTGTAGGCGACCACAGTGTGGCCATAACGCTGGAACGGCACCAGCGGATACTTCAAAGGATCGCCATCGTTGTCGCACTGCTGCGGCACCAGAGTCCAGCGCATCGAGTGCACGTTCAGCACATGCACATCGATGGGCTCATTGAATCGGTAATCGTCGCCTGTGCAATAGCCGCCAAAGCTATAGATGAACTCGCCAACGCCAACGGCTGCATGATTGACCCGCTGTGGTCCACCATCCAGATGCACCGTCCACAGCATGCTTCCAGCTTACTGCTAAAGAGATCAGATATTAATGATGAGATCGAAAGTTTATATAAAGCAATTGAATGGTTAGAGAATGCCTTTATGGCCTGGAAAATGTGTATCTATATCTATATCTATACTTTAGATTATATAGCTACGATTTGAGGACATTTTGTATGTGAGAATCAGACTTTGACATGATAATCGAAACTATAATTATCACAGACCTAAGTCACGGTCAGCGCAGTGAAAAAGCAAGGAATTTTCAAAAGTAGGAATCGTATTATTAGCTCCACTTAAGATATTACAGAGTCTTAAGTGTACCAGAAAAACTGGTTTTCATACCATGAGATTTAATATTAGAAAACTTGATTCGAATTCAAGCTAAAGCATTGGGTAAACTTATAAGCTGATGCTTCAAATAAATCATGTTGCTCTATGAAATCCTATTCATATATATACATATATACATACATATGTGAAACATTTTGAACCCAATTTCAATTGGCGTTGACTTTGATGTTATGAAAGAAATATATTTTTGAAGATACTGAAGCGTCAGGCAATCAGAGAGTTAAAATTGCCTTCAAAAAATACATATATAAATTTTACATTGAAATTATCTACTTGTTAATTGGCCATCAATGAAGCGGAAAGCGTTATAAGTTTATAACATTAAGCCAAGCTACTTGAAAATCCAAAGATCAACCAATTTTTGCTCGCTATCTAAATCTGGAGTTGGCTTCTCTTTTGTTGTGTTCGTTTGTTAGCTTTAAATCAGTTTGTTCTGGCAAATAAAATTATTTGCAGAAATTGTAAGTTTACCAATTTTAGCGAGTTATCTCAGCCATAATCTGGCCGGCTATAAATCTAGCTATTTTTAGTTTTGCCTTGAGTTAGTTTTTAGCATCAAATCAGTTTGTTTTGGCTGCATTAATAATGGGTTTCTTTTTTCTATCGATCTGATGTGATTAACTATTAGCTGACTGACGACCTTGTTTTAAAACAAATAAAATTATTTGCAGAAATTGTAAATTTATAATATTTATCTAGTTATCGCAGCTATAATCTGGCCGCTATAAATCTAGCTTTTTTCGTTTTGGCTCGAGTTAGTTTTTAGCCTTAAATCAGTTTGTTTTGGCTGCATTGACAATTTCAGGGTCCCTGAGTTGTAATTTAACAAATAGATAAATACGATTCGTGTGTGATTCATTTACAACAATAAGTCAAGCTGCTTCAAGCTATTAGCTACAATCTCCTTTGTCTTGATTGCATTTCAATAACAAATTGAAATGGGAATGAAAATGATTTGTTGAAATTGCACAAACGATTTCGTGCTGTTTACGAGAGTCACAGCTGCGTTGCGGTCCTTTTCTGCATTTGCCAATAACTTTTATATGCAACGCATATTAATATATGTATGCCTATTTCTATGTACATAAACATTTATTATCTGGTTAAGGGGCCTTGGGATTTGCACACTTATTAATGCTTACCTCACACAACGACTATTGCACTGGGCCAGAGCCGCCTGTCAACTGTTTTGAAATTATTGTTTGCTTTGCAAACACACATACACACACTAAACAAAATGGTAACAATTTTTGATTATTCCATGGCAAATAATATGCCGTTTTTTTCATTACTTACGCCAGAGACTTTGGTTAGGCGCGTGCTATATGCAATATGAGAATTGTGTGTGCTTTTCTTTTTGTGCAGCAGTAGTAGCAACTTCTTTTTGGGTAATTTTGTTGCTGCTTATCGATAGTATCGATATTTATGTTGAACGGTGTACATGTGTGGAGTGTGACCAGAGTATTGGAAATAATAGAGGTCTGTTATAAATTCCCCACACAATCACAAACACACCAGCGCCCCCACAGCAGAAAAGCAAGCAAAATGAGCGAACGCAAACAAATATTGTATTCGGTTCAATAAATTCATAGAAATTTTAATAATGCAAAAGTGTTGCATTAGTATTATGCAAACGGTGTAAAGAACCACAATAAAGTGTCATTTACTCAGTGGGTCGTTGCTGCTCCGTTTTGTTTGTGTGCGTGCGTGTGTGTGTGTTGTGCTTGACTGTTTGGCGTGCTTGTGTGTGTGGGTGTGTGCGTGTCTGTGTATCGCACAAAACAACAAACACACAAGAAAACTGCAACTGCAACAGAACCGTAAGTTGTCATACGTTTTTGCGTGCCCAAAAATTTGCCATTTGTTGCCGTTTATTATAATCGCCCGAAAATGTTTCCCTGTTCATATTCTCCATTTACATATGTAGTTACATGCATACATGTATCACCAACAATCTACATATGTATGTATGCATTCGTATGTATTTAGGTAAAGACCAAATTATTATGTATTCACATACATTAGCTTTGTTTTGCTCTCTTCTCCTTCCCGTAGAGAGAAAGATACAGAGAGTCACACACACACATAGCCACTGCAGTAAAAACAACAACAAAACACGAATGTTGCCACTGCAACGCAGTTTGCTGCGTTTGCAAAAAAATAAAACCCAAACAAGAATTTTGTTTTGCCATCAGCATTTATTGTATACTTATGTCTCCTTACATACACACAGGAACCTATAAGTGTATATGTAGATAATGACTGCATGTGTATTTGTGTGTGTGGGGAGAGGGAGGCTGCTGCTGCTAAACAAATTGCGTCTTTTAGAAACTCCGAAGTGCGATAAACATTAGCAAGTGCAAGTGAGAGCTTCGTTATGAAAGTTCATTCATCTGATCTCTCTTTCACGGCCTTTTCGCTGGCTCCGCTGTTTTTTCTAGTCTCAGCTGTTCTTAGGAAGCCAAGGACCACTTCGTTGTCGTGTGGTTTTGTTTGTTATGTTTGAATATTGAACCATGCGAACTCACACACAGACACAGAGAGCAGCTGTGTATTGCGCATGTGTATGTCGTAGCGTCGGTAACGCCACCACAGACACACAGCTGTTTCTGCGCTGTATTTTTGTTTACGCTTTCTCTCTATCTCACTCTCTCTTTGCTTTAGCACTCGCTTGCTCTCACACTGGCTCGCTTGCTGGCATTTTTACCGACTGCGTCGCTGGCGTCGCAACGCAATAAATTTTGTGTTGTTATTTTCTTTTGCGGTCTGATAAGATTATTATTTTTGTTTCATCAGCTGTTGGATGTTTTCTGTTTTTGCATTTTGCGATAGTGCTTAATGTTGTCTCTTTTACCCAAAAGCCGTGCGCATTTTTCTGCGTCTTTATTTATTTATTTGCTTCTTTTTTTCGTACACAGCTCATAAACAGTTATTCATAATTCTATTTGTACCGTTGCCACTGACGATATTGACCTCAGCTAAAAAGAAAGACACCACGAAATCATTACAACAACAACGTCAGCTGCTCTGTGTTGTGTTGTGCGCCTGTGTGTGCGTGATGCGTGGGGCATTTTTGTTGTGTTGTTGCCCCGTTGGATTTTCCCCTTTGAGTTTGTAAAAAAAGAGTGATTTAGCTAATCGATACCCTGTACTTGCGAAAATGATGAGAATATAATGTATTTAAAAATATTTATATATAAAAAAATAGGTCGAATAATATTAGGACTAATCGGCGATTACATTGACTGATAGGTCGATGAAGCTCAGCCTGATTAATTATAAATATATGTATATTTATGTGGGGTCAAAGCTACCTGTTCACTTTTCACTGGGTGCGCGGTATAAAAACACGACGCAAAAGTTCTATTGACGTTAAAGGCGCGCGAAAAAAATAGAAGAAGAAAAATAAAATCGCAGCGGTTGAATTACAACAACAGCGATAAGAAATGAATACCATGATTGAGGGCGAGTGTTAAAAATTGTGTTTTTTTGTCCACATACAACTGTAAATGCGTATTGTTAATTGAATAAGAACATGCTGAATTCGTTTCTGAATCAGCTGCACAAAACTGGTGATCGCCAGACACTTGCAACATCGGCGGTAGTGGGAGATGGGGATTGAACGAGGTAATGCTAGCTGGGCAGTACTAGCCAGTCACCTCGTCGTCACACAGAAACCGGCAACAGCTTAACACACAGCGAAACAAATACATATATAAACAATATGCCGACTGACACCGATGTTCTTACCGTTACTCAACATATTGTATAAATTTACAGTAAAGCGCATAATTATTGTATCTGTCAAAGGCTATTGCATTTATTCAGCACTTCTATATATATTTAGATGTATTTACTACAAATTTGGCGATACTTAAAGATAGATTTCATCGTATATATGTATGTTACAGCTGTATATAGGTTTATTTATATGATACTAGCAAATTATATTGTTATATGATATGATATATTTCTTACGTAAAATGAGCTCAAAGTGGCTGATTCTTTTCTGAAAACTCTCATATTTCACATTACTAAAGAAAATTAAATTAAAAAAGATAGAATAATTCAGAGTATACTTATAACTATGTGCCTGATCTTTACTTCAATAAGAAACGAAAAAAAATTGTAAAAAAATGTATTTAATTTCAAATATTTTTTTGATTTATTTATTATTTTGAATTATTTACTTGTATTAAATTCCGTTGCTTCATTCAAATATGTTTAGTAAGCACTGTTTTTGGCATATGTACTTACTTTTATGACGGTGAGTGTGGCACGCATGCTCGATGGTGGCAATTCGTACGCGGCTGTAGCTGTGTCATGGCTCTCCGGTTTTATGTGCCCACACTTAGGCACCGAACGACAACAACAGCAGCAACAACAAGAATATCAGGCACAGCAATAACAAGAATATTGGGTTAACATTTCTAACGGTAATTGGTGCGCAGTGCATATAGACTTTTGCATTCACCTTGCGCATTCACACACGCACACACATCCACATAGCGAGACATGCGTTGTTATTATTGTGAACTAAGTAATTGCACAAAGTAGTTGACTGTGTTCTCAGATTTAGCTTGATTTAGCTTCTTTTTTATTGCATTTAATATGCGTATGCACACGTTTGTATATGTATGTGGTATATGTATATTATGGATATGTATTGTTGTTCTTATTTGTCCATTTTGCAATTGAGGCGCTGCTTGTTGCGTTACTTTGCGCTGCACTCGTCACTGCCACCTGTATGCCGCTTTGTTGCCTTTTCTTTACTTCTTTGTTTGTTGTTGCGTTGCGCCGCTGCTGTTGCTGCTGCTGCTGCCGCTGCCATCGTCGCTGCTGCCGACAGTCGCCAACAGTGAAACGCAGCAGCGGCGCTGCCCGTCAGTCGTTCGTTACATTTCGCATAGCGCGCTTTGGTTTTTGATTGCAAAATAAAAGTGAAGTGGCAAAGCAAACAGCAAAAGGCCAAAGACAAAAAAAATATATATATATATAAAAAAAATCCAAAAATTAATAGAAATCAGAACGTAAGCGAGTTGGTGCCAAAGAACTCTCAGCTTCCTTTTCTCATTCACACTGGTTCACAGTTTGGTTCACTGAACTCGCAAAATTTCGGCTGCTTATTGTTTTTTTTTTTTGCGTGTTTCTGCTTGATTGTGTATGTGTGTGAGTGCTGCGTGCGTATTAAGTTGTGTTCGGCTGTATTTAATTTCGTTTTGTTTTGGAAAGCAACAAAAAATGATGCTTTCAATTAAAGTTTTAGGCGCCAAAAGTTGTCACCGTTTCGTTAATTTCGCTTGCTAATTAATATTGAAAAGCTGACTTATTCAAACGCCGCCTTGGCCCATTCCCTCTCTCTCTCGCTCTCTGCTTCATTTGTAAAGCGGGCAACGCTTTGTTGTCTGGTCCAATGCATTGCGCCAGCCAGAAACCCCGGCCAAGTGCATTTCCCTGTTCCCCTCCTCCTGCAGCTTGCCGCCGTTGCTTCTTTGTTCACGCCGCGCACTCTCGCTCCATCTTTCTCCCTCTCTCGCTCGCGCTCATACTCACGTTGCCCGTTCACTCCTGTTTCCTTTGTCTTAGTCGTCGACATTCGCGTCAGCAGCCAATTTGCATTGGAGATTGAACAGAAACCCCAACGATGAAGACGACGTGGTTGTTGTTGTTGTCGAGGGCTTGGCAACAACACATAAGAAGCAACAAGGGTGCTAATTATGGAAAATAGAACGTATATACATACAATATATGTATGCATATACATGTGTATGTATTTACTACATATGTGTATGTACGTATGTACCCACTTGTAATTCCCAAGTTCTTAGTTCGTAACTCCCAACAGCTATACAGCGTGGGAGGCGTTTGCGCAAATGTAAACGTTGTACAAAACTTGACCCATGAGCATTGCTTAACTAGTTTAGATCAACAGACATTCGTATGAACAATGTCCCTTGTAATGCTTAGACATTTGTGCAGTGAAAAAGGGATTTATATGTATATACAGTTGTGTTAAAAAATAGTAGTGCTGCACTACACAATATATAACCCAAATAAGTTGGTCGTTTTCCGATGGAAAATGAAATGATGCCCACTTTTTGTTCAGAGTGGAATGTAATGAATAAAATTACAAAAAAGCCCGTTACTTTACAGACATGCATTGAAAGTATATATTACATATCTCAAAAATAAACCTCACGAGGTGTATATACATACATTAAATATATAGTATTTGATACAAATTATTAAATCATTTCATGGCACGAATACCTTATAAAGTTTATATATAATTAATCAGCTAATATCCCTATCACCACAGCTGTGTTCATTATAATAGATACACAGTTTTATTTAATGCAAATGTTCAAATGTTCAGCAATAAAAACAATATGTATATTTATGTATATATATATATATATATATATATATATATATATATATATATATATATATATAAATAAATATTTTAATTTATTTCATGTACTCATTATAATGAATTTTATTTGACTGAGCTCTAAAAGTGATATACTGTTAAATAGTACAGACTTCATCTGCTTTGCAGCTTTAGTATAGATAGTATAGAAGTTCTTGATTGATATACGTCTATAGATATGAGGAGAAGTACCAGCAAAATTGAGAAAAATAATAAAATTATTTAAAGCTTTTTTGTTGTAAAGAAAACGTAATTTACAATAGTTCGCCTGTATATATTATTTAATTAGAATTTTATAAGGATTATTTTTAATATAAACGATTTTTTAAACGTTTCCATCTGGTGGTATAACAAACTATACTACTGGATGAGGTTTTTGGAATATAGTTTTTTCTAAATACTTTACAATTTTCAAGAATTATATATGAATATAATATTCTATTATATATAGGAAAGTAACCGGATGTAAAGTTCTTGTTGTATTTTTTTTTTTATTTAATTTTTTTTATAAATTTTTTTAATGTATTGTATATAATTATTTTTATTTTTTAATGTTTTTTTTTTTAAATTCTGGATTATATAGAATAAAAAAAGTTAATATTTATATATAAAAATTACAATGGTAATCATAAAAATATATTAAACATTTTTAAATACAAAAGTTTATTTTATAAAAAAGTCAAAATAATTGGAAAAAAAAACATTTATTTTTATTTTTATTTTTTTTTTATATTTATATTTGATGAGCAACTGAAAATATTTAAAAAATTCAGTTCTTGGTAAGGTCTATCTTGACCTTACTGTACATATCGATCACATTAACTGAATCAACTATTCAGTGACAAAAGTTAACCCAGGGGGCGAATGCGAATAGAGCTTTCGCTGCGGACGTGTTCAGTGGGGGTTAGGCGAAGGCATGAATCATTTGGGTGTCATTTGGCGAAAACAGCTGTTAACTGTGGCAGCAGATTCTGATGTCTCTTGGCTTGCTGTGCATAAATCACTTATTAGCCAAAAGACGCTGTTGGCAAAATCGACTGCAGTTCATCATAATTATCGACTGGTAGCCATATCCCCCACTCACTGCAGTCGCCTCGTAACCCCAACTCTTTAGGACCATGTGCATATGTGTGTTTGGCCAGGCTATTAGGCCACATTTGTAGTTTGGCTGAAATATGGCGCTGGCCAGAGACTTGCAAATGGAAATCAATAATGGAAATGCACCGACCTTAATGTGATTTTTCCCTCTCACTATCTCTTTCTCTCTCTCTTTATCTGACTGTCTGTCCCTCTCTTTCTCTATCTCTCTCTCATTTTAGACTTTGCTAGTTTTATATATATGGCTCGTCTATATGCAAACAAGGAAAAGTACATTTTGTGATGTGTGCTCGACTAGCAGTTACCCTCTAAACTGTTACAAGTATTTGCCTGACATAAATAATCTTATACGAGTGTTTATTGAGAATACATAGATATATATATATTTCTTGACAATTGGTAAAGTTTTCTTCTTCTGTCATTCCTATTTTTAACGCCACTTGTCCTGCAGATGAGATTCGCTGATATACTGTATTCTGACTGTTTACAGGGTATACAAAAAAAAAAAACAACGAAACTATACATTAATATTCATTCGCCTTTGTCTTTTGTCTTTGGCAGAATATCTGATACACCAACACACACACATATATATATATATATATATTGTTGTCTGTACTTGCACACATACATATGAGTAAACATACAGACGCTAAGGAGGAACGCACGCGGAACAAGAACCTTTGCAGTCACAGTTTAAGTCACAGTCACAGCGATCGGATAGCAGACACTGAGGAAAGCCAAATCGATTGTATTGCTGCTTGCTCTATGTATGACCCAAGACAGTGACAAGCGCTGGACATAATCGTTCAATGACAGCAGCAACAGTTGCTGCCACCGCCATCGCCACTGCCTCTGCTTCTGTCTCTGACTCTGCCTCTGCTTCTGTCTCTGTCTCTGACTCTGCCACTGCCTCTGCCTGTGTCGCGGCGCCGTTTGCTGCAAGCAACGTGAGCAGTTAACGCCCAACAGCAGCAGGAAAAGACTCGGCTTAATCCGGTCCCAGCAGGTGAGCTGAACATGAAATAATTGAGAGCAACACGAAAAACGCAAAGTTAACAAGTCAGAAATTCCTGCGGATTAATGAAAGTTAAGCTTGCACAGAACACGTCTGAAATACCTGGAATCAGGCATTCATGGAAGTTAAGCTTTATCCTGACTAGCTTTGAGCTCAGTTAAGGACTTTACTGAATTAACCGGCTCAGAGATTAATGAGAGTACAGTTTTATACTTTATGAATTTAATTTTGTAGTGTTTTAAGAATCTGTCTGAAATCCTTTCTGCAAGGAACAGGCCTAGTCAAACATGATTTAAGCGTGTCTCCAAAGAACGAAGCTTCCTCACTCTCCAACTTTTATACTGTACCTTTATATAAACTCTTGAAATTAATGTTATTTATATTTTACAGCGGGTCTATATACAGCCAGATCAGTCGTCGATCAGGACTTGTTTCAACGCTCAACCAACTAAAAGCCAAGCCAAACCACACGCCCAACAGATAAAGTAGCAGCAGACATAACAGCAACTGCAACAGCAACAGCAACAGCAACAGTTTAACAGCTAAAGCCAACTGTAATCGAAAGAGCAACAATGGTGAAAACATTTCAGGCCTACTTACCGTCCACAAATCGGACCTACTCATGTGTTCATTGCCGTGCACATCTGGCATCACACGACGAGCTCATCTCAAAGTCGTTTCAGGGTAGCCAGGGACCGGCATATCTGTTCAATTCGGTGGTGAATGTGGCCTGCGGGCAAACGGAGGAGCGTGTCCTGCTCACTGGCCTGCATGCGGTCGCTGATATTTACTGTGAGTGCTGCAAGACGCCGCTCGGCTGGAAATATGAGCACGCCTACGAGTCCAGCCAGAAGTACAAGGAGGGCAAGTTCATTATTGAATTGGCGCACATGATCAAGGAAAATGGCTGGGATTGAACGGAGCGAAGCGGACGCGCGTAAGGCATTTGGTGGGCTGGTAGTCCGGGCGGCTTGGGTAACGTTTATAATGCGGCAATAGCAACGACAGCAACGATAAGTTGATGGCAGATGGCAGAAAATGGCTTGGAGCCAAAGTTGGAGCAAGCGACTACATTTGCGAGAGCAAGCGAGAAAAGAAAGAGAGAGGGGGAGCGAGCGAAAGGGAGAGAGATGGAAAGCGAGCGCCGGCGATCAGTCGAGCGAGCTGATGAGTGTTAGGGTACCATAATATATATATACTATTATATAGTACATAACTCGTCGTATCTTATAGAACAAGCAAACAGACATACACACCCATACACATGCACTCACTCACACTCACACACACATACCCATCCACATTGACAGAAATAAAGTTCCAGTTTAGGAGCTTCGAAGAGATCTCTGCGCTGGACGCAACAGTAGCAGCAAATTGAACTGGCGCCATCTGTCGGCCAGTGCCTACAACTATCATTCGTATTACGTTTTGTTGCCAGTTTTGTTGCTTCTCAATTTGTTTTTCAATATTCAATAAGTACAAAGTGTTTAGAAAACAATTTTTTTTGTTTTTGTCTTTCTTCATTTGTTTTACTGTTTGAGTTTTGTGCACAAGTTTTTGTTGCTGACCACCACAAAAAAGGAATACAAAAAACTTGCACTGCCAATAAACGAGAAAATATGAGGAAAAATGCTTTAGCAACAAATTCAAAAAATTGCAACAAAACGACATCACTCAATAGGAAAGAGCAACAAATTTAATGCATAACGGCATACGACATTAAAATCCACCTACACACACAAACGTACAGAGAGACACACTTATATACATATATACTTACACTTTTTCAATGTAGTAGTTATTTAAAAGGAATATTTAAAACAAAAAACATTATTTAGCTTGCGAATCTGCATAAACTATTTATATAAAAAATGCAAAAAATTAAAGCGCAAAGAAATGCAAAAGGAATGAAAAAAGGAAGCAAAAAATTTAAAAAAAATCAGCAAATTGTGAATGCCAATAAAGAAAAAATTAAATATAATATATATATATATATATATATATATGTAAATATACATAAATATATATATATAAATATAATATATATGTAATATAAATGCATATGCAAAGAATAGCAGCCAGATGGCGCCACATAACTGTATTATGTTTTCAACTGTGGTGTTTAGAAATGCAACCAGATGGCGCCACATATAAATGTATTATGTGTATTAAGTGTGATGTTTCGCAAAATTTTTGTAATAATTAGTAACAAAAAAAAAAAGAAAAACAAAAAAAAATTATATATTCTCCTGTAATGAAAAAGCTGAATATGCACAACAAATTTATGAAATATGTGAAAGAAATAATATAAAATACATTATATACATACATATAAATATATATATATATATATATATATATATATATATATATATATATATATATATATTTATATAGAAACACACACAACAAAAATCAAAGATACGCGTAAACAAACATCAGCAGCAGTGAAATTCTTAAATTAAATAAATTAATATGCAAAATAACTGCCAAGAACTATTCGAGTTAATGATGTTCTCTAAGTAGTCATAAATAAATAAATAAATATATATGTATATATATATAATAAATATATATGTATATGCAAATATATATATTTTGTGGTAGCCATTAAAAGAAAAACACAATAAAAAAATTGATAAGCAAAATCATACAATAAATTGAAATCTCTAAAAAAAAAACAGAAAAAAAACAAAGTTGCCTGAAATTGAAGTTGAAGAATGTTTGGGTATTAATTTGATGTTAAATGAGGTAATCAAAACAAAAGAAAATGAAAAGAAATTTAGATTTTATAAAATTCATTTAATTATTGTATAAATTGTGTCAAAAAATCTTAAAAAGTGATTTGAAATTCTGATTTTGGTCTTAAAAATGTGCACTGTAAAAGGAATTCATTTGAAGTCCTTAAAGTATTATTATTTACAGTAGACGAAATGACTTCTTTTGCTTTGCCTTTCTGTTCCCCTTCTCATATCGATTATATATTGAATATATTTATATTCGTTGATCATCTTCGTTTTTAAGTGGTTTTTTCTTTGCTTTCGCATCATCGAATGGACCGGAATTCTCATTTATAAAATATTTACTCAACTCACAAAATGTTTCATATTTGCTCACAAAATAGAAACCGCGATCAAGCTGCAAATTTATTTATTTCTAAAAGCAAAACGCATTATTCAATTGTACTTATGTATTAAGCAAGATTGTATGATTTCTGAACACTAACAATAACCAGCATTAGACGATAATTCTAAAGTTCTTGATCTTGTTTCCGTAACAAAAAAAGAAAAAAAAAATGAATTTGCATGTGTTTTCATGCAAACGTGATATAGCTAATTGATGTATTGATGTAAACAGATTAGAGATTATATTTAGCAACGGTACGAATGTATGCATACACACACACACATATACTTATACATACATACTAACATGAACATGGAACCACCTTGAACCGTGCACTATCCTGTGCAAAATTATATATATGAATATATATATATAAATATATATATATTCATATATAGTACGGTGGACAACCGATATAACGAACGAACTCACGCAGGCACGCACGTCACATCACAATCATACAAGGAAAATAATGTTTGAAAGTTGTGTTAAATGCATGACAGACGCTTAGTTTGCAAACAGAAAAAATAATTATAGATATATATATATATATATATATCTATATATATATATAAAATTTAAATATATATATATATATGAATTGATGTATTCAAAATGCAAGATTGAAATAAAGCGCATTTTTAGCTTGTCTCATGATATCTTTTACTGTGTTTCCAAGGCTTGGGTAGCTTTGTGAGGGGTTGGAATGGATATAGCGAAATAGTTCCAATTCTCTGCTTTGGCTTTTCTGCGTGAAAGGAACAAAAAGCGGTATAGCAAATTCGCTTGAATTTTAATGAAACTTTGAATTTGAATTGCTGATGTAAAGGTATGCTGTTGGTTTTCTTTTTCGTGTAACTGAGAAGTTTATATTTCAAGATAGACATAATAAAAGCTATGACATTTTTAGTTTATATAATGAGAACATCTATGAATCTAACTGCTAAGGCAGTTGCTGTAACCCCAATCCAAACGGATCAAATTATAGTGGGAAGGGCACATCTCTTCAAGGCGTCCCTTCAAACCGCTTTCGACGACTCTTGCAACATTCATTAATTAATTAATATAGTTTTTAAAAGCAACAAAAACCTGTCTGATTCCAGCCAGCTTATCATACCACAAAATTGAAATCAAAAATCGAAATATACAAACTTTGGGATACTTTTTGAACAGACCTCTGCATTAACTGTTATTGGCCCTTTGCAGTCCTGCGCTTATTGATTACAGTTAATCAGCAAATTAATAGGACATGATACCAGATGTGAGTAAATTGTGGATCTACTTCAAAGGCCTTCCGATTCTTTTTTCAGCAGCCTTCGCTTCTTCGACCTGCTTCCCTTGCCAAGCTGTAACCAGTTGAGAATTCTATTTTTGCAGCTTTTGTTACGGGCGCAAAAGGGAGTGAAGGTATGAAGTATGAAGGTATGGTATGAACGCTGTCTTCTCTCCTGCATGCACAAAGAGATGGATGCTTGAGTCTATGAGGCAGCCAATGCCAATAGATATATAGATATATTATATTGGCTGGGATTCTATCTGTAGGTGACCTGAGCTCGCTGAAGAGACAAACAAATGAATGTATTCAATGCTCATCATGCATGTGGCATGAAATTTAATATATGTTCAATTACAAACGATCATTATGGAAGGTATAAATGAAGCTCAACATGTATGTGTGTGTGAGTGTTGGTGTGGTTGTGGGTGTGTGTGTGTTAGTGTGAGTGTTAGTGTGAGTAATAGGTAATGTTACTGTGCAGCAGCATTTCATTCAAGATGTTTTTTTTTGTTGTGGCTAGGAATTACTTCCACTTGTTCTGGCTATAATCCCATTTGGAGGAGATTCCTGTGATAGGATTCATTTGCAACTGTATAATACGGCGCAATTGTGCCTGACGATGCTCATCGTCGTAGGTAATGGGCAACTCATCGTAAATCATGGCATTGCTTAGTAATGTGATAATCAGCCCAATGGCTACAGACCACAGACCGAGGGCCACGGCCAGCTTCCATTCGGGCGTGAAGTATTGGAACTCCGAATAGGTCTGACAGAAGCTATGGCGATACAAAGACTTCTTCTCTTCCAGCGAGAGCTTCTTCCAGTCGCCCAGCTCCTTTTCGCGCATGGCACAGATCTCGCTTGTTACCTCGCGATAGCGTATGGCCGGAAACGGAAAGTCCGCGCAATCAATATAGTTGGGACTACCATTGACGCCATAGCCAACGATCTCGCGTGTGCCGCTCATGGCCCGGGTCCCGTCGTGATGGGTGAAACGGCGAAAGATCCGCAGATCGGCAGTTGCCAGGTGTGAGGGGCTAGCGGTTTTGGCTGCAGCGGCAGCGGCTGCGACAGCGGCAGCTGCCCCAGGCAAACGGCATCCAGCACACCGCAACGAATTCATCATGGAAGCGCTGCGGACCATAGAGCTATACAAAGCTTGGTTAGAGATTGGCGAACTCACCTACCGGATTCGTTTACAAATCGAACTTTGTTCGGCAATTTGTTTGTCCTGAGTTATTTTCCAAATTTTTTTTTTTCTGAGTAATGATGCCTGAGCTTGAGCTCCGGGCAAATAAATCGTTCTGACTGTCTGAAATCTGGCTGCTACACGCCTTTCCTGCCAATTGACAGCTAGCCAGGGTTGTCGTCTTTCATGCATACAGTAGGCTGAGCCTTCACTTCTATTTAATCAAAGTGGGCTAGTCGACGGCCAAGATGGAAAACAAAAAGAAACTCCGTGTACACACACACACACACACACACACATGCGCATACACACAATTCTAGAGTTTTGCATTGGGATTGGCTCTTAAGCCAAGTCAAGTGGCAGCGGGGCAATGAAATGAAATAAAATGAAAAGAATAGGCAGCTAATCCTTTTGACAGCCAGACCCAAGTGGCTGGAAAATGAAACTATAAAGAATGGGTCGAAGCCAGCGTCCGACAAGACGTGAAAAAAGCGAATTGAAAAAAATTACATGTGAGGGACAGTCACAGACACGTGAAGGACCACCGCAGTATCATCTCTCTCGCTCCCTCTCTCTCTCTCTCTCTGCCTCCCTCTACTCCGCAGCAGTTGTCAATGTTGCCTCCAATTCTGACGTAGGTCAATTTAATTTGAGCAGATTGTAGAGCTGAAATGACTGTATCTAACATATGCCCACAGCCAACAGCCCAACCCCCGCCAGCTTCAACCCCCAGCCCCCAACTCAGCAACAAAAAAATTCAACCATTCAGCCATTCATTTTGTCTCCCCTTGTTTTGTCCCTTTTTTATTTTTTTGTTGATACGCTTACCGGATGCTTCCGTATTGAATGCAAGAGCAAATCATCTTGAAATGCTTCTTCTTACGTTTTTTATTCTGTTATCAAATAAAAGATAAGAAATCTGAGCACGAAATGATTTGACTGCTGTTGTAATACCATAGAAGTTTTCTATAACATTCCCATTACAGTCAGATATTCTACACAGAAAGTATAGTTTCCAAACTAGAAAATGTTTTCTAGAATTCGGGGAAGCGCAAGCGATTAGAATATATTATAGAGTTTTCTGGGTTTCAATAACATAGATTTGCCTCAAATTTGAACCGTCTTTAGTATCATAAATAATAAATGCATTATGATTAAGTTATAATTTCAATTACAATTTTAGACTCCTTCGAAAATAAATTGGGAAAATATGAAATTTTCTTTACTGAAAAGACACTGAAAATACTATAATCTCTTCAAATTTGGGATATAAATATATATAAAGCTAGAATATAGGAACATACAGTTTTATTAAAAAATAGTAGTGCAGCACCACACAAAACATGAATCAAATGAAAAGCTACGTTTTCCGATAAATATATGCCCAGCAGAAATAAAAATTAAAAAAAACTATTAGCATGTTTGTCATTGAAAGTCTGTTTATAAATGATATTTTTTTATATTTTATTTTTATTTATTTTATTTTTTATTTTATTTTATTTTTTATATTCAAACTCAACTACTTATTAAATATGCCTGGGGGAGTTAAGACTTGCACATTTATTGACTTCACGATTTTACTTGAAATCCTAGTCTTATATACCCAACACGAGCATCTTTTAACTACTGCCAGTCATTGGAACATTCATATTTGTCATGCACATGCATATGTCGTATCGCTTGTAAAATATAGCGCAATACTGTGAATTTAGCAGCTGAGTTCGTTTTTTAAATAGCCCAATTCATGATTGCCTCCTGCTCGTGTCAGGCTGGCCGTTGTACAGCGTTCTTGTGCAGGTATTATCCGAGTGAGTTTGCATCTTGGCTGTGCCCTGCTCAGTCCTGGTTTGTATGCCCAAATTGTTACTCCGAGTGAGAGTGAGAGACTGATAGCTGCTGCTGAACGTAGCCCCGAGTGCTGTCAAGTGAGAGTGAGTGAGCTCCTTAGGTCATTTGGCCAATGGTCGAAAAGTGGCGACTAGAAATTGGTATTCTGCAAATGGACTTGGTCGCGATTTTAGAAATATAAAACAGAATAGAAGGTGACAAAAACTGACTCAATCTTAGACACACAGATGTTCGAAGTTGGCAAATCTATGTCAAAAGCAGATTGAGCTTGAAATTACTGACGAATTCCTACTGGAAACTTTCATTTACTTTCATTCAACGGTTTACTTTATTACAAATCGAATAATAAACTTATTATTAATATACATATTTATATATATAGATCCATATTATATTATACATTATTGCAGGTAATAATCGGCAAATAAATGAGCTCATCAAGCTTGCAAAGTTGCAAATATCGGATGTTTTTTTAGAGTTACATAAGTTTAAGTTCTAATAAAATAGTTAAATATATTTTTAATATCAATAAATTTAGCTTTATAGAATAGAAAATATTATGACATTATTTTTGAAATATACTAAAAGATATATGCCTGCCACAGCTGACGCTTATAGACTTTATTTATATTCAATCAATCATGACATAAGAACATTTGAAGAAAACAAATTTCGAACTTTCAGTATTTAAATTTTTGCAATAATAAATATTTTAAATATAAGAAAACTTTTTCAAAACCTTTATATTTGCCTTTGGAACATTTTTTTTAGCTCTTTAAAATTTTACTCAATATTAGTGTCCGATTCGTAAATATTTAATGAAATTTTTATTACTAAAACTTTTAGTTAACAAATTCAGCAATGATTTGTTGGACATAAAACGGGAATTTTTGCTAGAAAAAGTCGCGCGTGAATGATGAATGATTCGTCTTCTGCTGTTGTCAACTCGTCTGTGCTTTGTTTGATGTCGTGTTTGGTTTTGTAAGCATTTAATTAATACTGAAAGCGACAAATAAAGCGCTTAAATGGCCTGCTCAGCGCATTTCGCTAACGGCCAATGGCCAAATCCCATTAACACATGACGAGCTCTAGGCACAGCAGGCCAATCATATTTTTCAGTCATGTCCAGCCAGAGGCGGAGCTGGAGTCGGAGGTAGAGATGGAGTTGGAAATGGAGCAGTGCAGTCAAGGCCCGGCTGGCTGTCATCACTTCAACGTCTAATGGGAGTCAACGCACACAGAGTCGAGCACAGTTTAGTGCAGTTAGTTGACAGTCGACTGGCAGTGAGCCGTGCCCAGTTAGAAGTCGTTGCTGTCACATGCAATGCGCCATCATTCACATGTTCAACGACGAGAGCTATATCACCACACAGACCAGCACCACCCCATCCCACCCTCTCCCGTACCACGTAACCACCATTCCTCCTAATACCCGCCCCACTTTACACTCAATCACTTACTCCCCTAGTGCATATTGGTCCTGTGCAGTTGGTAGCTTTTAAGGGCTTTGTGTTTGTTGCATATCGAATGGGTACATGGGTTCAATCAAGGCTTTCGTTAGTCATAGATTTAAATAATATATATATATATATATATATATATATTTTTTTTTTTTTTATTTTTTATTTTTTATTTTTTTTTGTTTTGATATCTAGACTAGATATTTTACTTCAAATATTGAATGAAAATATTATCATATAGATGTAAAGATTTTCCCGCTTCGTTTTATAAATCTAATTTTTCTAACTGAGATCCTTATTTTTTAGTCAGCTTTACCCACTTGCGATTAGTTGCTGGCATTTGTATTCTTTTTGTTATTTTCCTTCATCGTAAGATTTCCTACCTTCGATAGAGTAATGAATCAGCATAATGCATCTGGAAGCCGCATACCTGAGCAACACTTAGTGAAATATTAACCAATTTGGTTGGCATTAGTCGAAGGTATTTTGTAAGTGATTCAGCTTCAGACACAATTGTATCCAAAGCAGAAAACATTATGCAACTGCTGCGATTCAGACAGAAACTTGCTTTAAATCTGTATGGAAGGCAAAAGCTTCCAAGTGCCATAAAGTGACAAATCCATCAACGGCTCGAAAATGAAATGATGCGAAGCGTGAGCAATTCGTCTCGCATGAGCTCAACACGAATTGTAGCGAGGGTGGGTCTATTAGCAAGTGAAAGGCACATTATATATATAGAATTTATATAAGTTCTTGCTAGATAAAATGTATATTTAAGTGTCAAGTAACTGGATACTTGCCTTAGTTATAGAAAACAAATTCACAAAAACATAACATATATTTATATTTATATATATACATACATATATATAAATATACGATAATATCAATATAACATCTAATTTTCTGCAACTATCCAATGTACATAATTCATTGTATATTTTCTTGAGCTGCCCACAATATCAGTGACATCCCTCGCATACGTTAAAGTGTGTCAATTGAATTGCGAGTGCGACGTTGACTCTGGGGTCGTATTCCTCGTCTGCGGTCTCTCAACATTGGGCCTGTGGTCTGCCAATGTGATGTGAGTAAAGCATTTCCACATTACAGTTCACTATGTGGACTCGCTTGTCGTAAAACCTGCAACTGGGTGCTAAAAACAAAAACGGGAATGCCACAACTGTGGCCAAGGACTCCGAATCTCAGCGTAGGCATGTGCGCCATAAAAGTTATAAAAAATAAGAGATATAATATTAAATGTACAAATGTTGACAATAATAATAAAAATAAAAATAATAATAATAATAATAATAATAATAAGACTAATAATAATACTAATACTAATACTAATACTAATACTAATACTAATACTAATACTAATACTAATACTAATACTGATACTAATACTAAGACTAATACTAATACTAATACTAATACTAATACTACTACTAATACTAATACTAATACTAATACTAATACTAATACTAATACTAATACTAATACTAATACTAATACTAATACTAATACTAATACTAATACTAATACTACTACTACTACTACTAATACTAATACTAATACTAATACTAATACTAATACTAATACTAATACTAATACTAATACTAATACTAATACTAATACTAATACTAATACTAATACTATACTAATACTAATACTAATACTAATACTAATACTAATACTAATACTAATACTAATACTAATACTAATACTAATACTAATACTAATACTAATACTAATACTAATACTAATACTAATACTAATACTAATACTAATACTAATACTAATACTAATACTAATACTA